TGGGACCATGGATTAAGGGTTCCAGTGGGGTGTGAAGTCAGCAAGGCCAGCAAGTCGGCATGAACCCCTTGAAGCAACAGCATGTAACGGCCATTAGCAAGGGCCAAGGACCATGGCCCAGAAGTGAAGTGAGATGGAAAAGACAGACATGTCTCCTCAAAGCACTGAAAATTAAGTCAGTTTCCCTTTTCTCCCTCAAATCTCAAGAAAGCTGAGCTAGTCAAACCAAGGGGAGTGATGGCCTCTGAGGAGTGAAAGGGGAGAGGGAGGGATGGTCCAGTCGGTGTTCGGTGTGAGGAAGGAGAGGGGGAGGCCAGGTGAGACGATGGCCGCTCAGCTGAGTGGCCGAACTGGCGGGGGAAGCCGGGCCGCTTGGCGGAGACGGCTCATCTTCACCTCCCTGCTCGTGTTTCCTCTCCTTAGGAGCTCTTACAGGCAAAACAAGACCTTCAGGATCTGCTTATTGCCAAAGAGGAGCAGGAAGACCTTTTGAGGAAGCGGGAGCGGGAGCTCACCGCCCTGAAGGGAGCCCTGAAAGAGGAGGTCGCCAGTCACGACCAGGAGATGGAGAAGCTGAAGGAGCAGTACGACGCCGAGCTGCAGGCCCTGAGGGAGAGCGTGGAAGAGGCGACCAAGGTGAGCCCGCCCGACTGGCGGCCAGCCCATCGCGGGTAACGGGACGAGGCAAGAAACTGGCGTGGGCACAGGTGACAGGGCCAGACGTCTCCTGCACCAATGCCAGTGGTCTTGCGTCCTGTTTGCTACGGACTGAAACCGTCTCATCACGTCAGGGAGAGAGAGCTGTTCACAGAGAGTAGGCTCAACAATGTTGCTGTTGACTGTTTTAAGTCTATAAACTGAAAAATTATTAAGGACGTTGTTTAAATGCTATTGCGCCAGGTGAGATTTAGAGGCCCTTGCATGAACTCTGGAAGCAGAGCTGAGATCTGTACCCCTCTAGCTGTTCCTAAAGCTCAGAGGCCCACGCTGTGGTGATGTTGTGTGGTTTTGCTAATGGTGCAGCGTTGCAGACAGGACCCGGGTTTCTGGAATCCTTCGCCTCTGCCCTAGCCTGTTCCTTCTGACTGAAGCCTTCTGTCAGACATTTCAGGTTCTTTTCTCAGCACAGTTAGGAGAGGGTTAATTGGCTGAATTGCCCAAACCCTTGCAAAGTAATTTTCCTCGTAATTGAATTCTTGGCTCCTGCAAATAGATTCTCCTAAATTATGTTGAAGTCTTCCGGTGTGGGCCTCATGTTGGCTGTTGAAGAGAAAAAACAATGTTTTGAAGGGGAAAATGCTTTGAAATAACATGCCATCTTTAGGGAAAGGGGAATGACAGAGTATGATTTTTTTTTTTAGAGTCTCTGCAATCTGTAGGTCAGAGATGATGAAGAAAGAACTGTTGATATGGTTTGTTTGTTGTGTGATGATTACAGTGACAGCTCAGAGCTGGTAGGCCGTCTCTTTAAGCTCCATAGTGATTCGCTGATTTTCAATTACGGCACGGTAATCGCAGATGACACGAAGTGAAAGATGGGTTTGTTTGTTATAACAATAAAAGGTCTGGGAAATAGTCTGGGGTTATTATAACTGAGACAGTTACAAAAAAGGCCTCTCAGAGATTTGCCTATCTTAGGTTCTTTTGAGGTATGGTTTAGTTTGAGAGAGAAAAGCGAAACTGATTGAATTTTCACTGCTTTGAGGAAATGTCTGTTTTTGCCATCTCATTTTGCTTCTGTGCAACAGCCCGGTGTCCTTGCTGGTGGTCTCCATGTGCTGCTTCACAGAGGACAGGCCGAGAGGCTGCTGAGTAAAATGCCTCTCCTTTGATCCCATCATATCTGTATCATCCTCAGACATTGCATCAAAGCCTTAGTTAACAAGGTGCGTTCATCGAAGGGTAGGTAGTTGAGGATGGTGTTTAGGCATGTTTCTAGTGATTTCACTATTAGGAAAATTAAACTGGTACCACACATAACTCTCAGATAACATAAATGGGGAAGGGAAACAGAAACATGGTGGGTGAAAGGACATCTTTGTTGTATGGAGTTGAGATAATCTGTAGAGACTCGGGCTATCGCATTTCTACCTTTTTGAAGGTCAGCATTGTATGTTAGTTCACGGCACTTGCATTATGCCAGTTCAAGAGGGGTAACTGTCTTGACCCACACCAGTCTGTGAAAGAAACAACAGGTGAGTTAGCCAAGGTGTAGATCGCTGGCAGAGAATGTACGGTTTCTGAGCACCAGGAAGCAAATGCAAAGGGGTTCACCTTAGCATCCAGTGGGGTGTGTGCCAGCAAGGCTCTTTGCCCCAGGTCATATTCTGCACCGCTGCCAGCATCTTTCCCTGAAAGAACAAATCTGGTCATGTCAGCCACTGCTTTAATAACTGCCTTGGCCCCCCAATGCCCCAGACTTAACTTCAAAATTGTGAGCCTTGTAGGCAGTAGAAGTCCCTTCTTTTCCTAACCCCATCTCTAGAAAACTCCATATTCTTCTTTTAGTCCTTTCTCCTCTTTGCATATGTGGAATGACTTCCTTCCGCTTTTCTGCCTGAGCAACCTCTGCTCATCCTTCAAGACCCTCCCCAAATGTCCCCTCTTCTCTGAAGGTGCCCCGGATACCTCCACTCCCCTCAGTGGAGTCAATCGCACCTTTCTTACGCTTTCTTTTGCACCCTGGCTATTCTACCAGGAATGATTAGTTTGTGTCACACCATGTTGTAATTTATCATCTTGTCTGCTGCCTCCGTGAGACTCTGAGCTTCTTAAGCACAGGGGCCATTTTTAATTTTTTCCTGGACTGGGAGTGACAAACTCAAGTACCTTGGGGCCCAGATAGGGACAAATAAATGAAGTTCTGAAAGTGTTTCTGGTGTTACAGTAGGGCACGGTGAGGACTGTGGCAGGCTGGAAAGTTTGTCGTTTGCTGTAGGGTCAGTTGCCTCTCTGCTACAGCTTAGAGTTGCCAGCAAAGGAATGTGGGGTGCATGTTGCTACATCTCTCAATTTTTAAAGAGAAGCCAGATAGCTGGATGTTGATGTGAGATCTCCTGACTTTTAAGCAGTGCTTCAAATTGAAAAAAAAAAAAAGATCCAAACACAGCCCATCTGCAGGTCAACAGTGTGTGATCTTTGTCCCTGGAGCTTAGCACAGGGCCTGGCATAGCCACATCTGTGCAATACCTGATGAGTAAAACTAAGTGGAGAACAGGTTCCCCTCTAACCAGGTGTTCAGGCCTGGTTGTGGTTCCTGTAGGATTTTTTCTCCAGCAGTGATGTGGGAGGTCTTTTAGGAAATCCGCTATTACTCTGTGAATTTCTGTGCCTTGCTTTTGAATTTCCCTGTAGTTTTTCTTAAGGAGGATTATAAGTATGTTTTATACCTTAGCCTTTTGCTTCTGACTGTGGTTGCTGATCAAATGTGTCAGAAATATGTTGAATGGAGAAGATTATGTTAATTTAGTGAACAAATACTGCCTTTTTGTTACATTATTTACATGTGGGTATCATATAATAGAATTTTAAGATTATTCTGTTAACTACTTAGAAGAGAGTGAATTGAATATAATTTTTTAACTTGGTAAAGAGCATTTTAAAAAATATATATATATCTTTATTGATTTCAAAGAGAGGAAGAGAGAGAGAGAGAGAGAAACATCAATGAGGAGAGAGTCATCATTGATCGGCTGCCTCCTGCATGCCTCCGACTGGGGATCGAGCCCACAACCTGGGCATGTTCCCTGACCGGGAATCAAACCACAATCTCCTGGATCGTAGGTCGATGCTTAACTGTTGAGCCACGCCCGNGCATGTTCCCTGACCGGGAATCAAACCACAATCTCCTGGATTGTAGGTCGATGCTTAACTGTTGAGCCACGCCCGGCTGGGCAAGAGCACTTCTTAAATTGGCACTAGCTTTACCCTTTTCCGTCCCTGGGGAAGGACCTTCTTACCCAGCACTGTGTCTAAAAGCTGACACTGCATGAAGGAACTGCATTGCGTTACAAAGTTTATTTCTTTGGTAAGTCTCAGGAGGCAGCCCGACCTCCTGTCATCAATTTTTCTAATTTTTGCCACTGCCCCAGGGCCAAAAACCCTTAAAGTGCTATTTTATTATCATCAAATAACAAACATTTCATCCTGGCCTGAGCTTGAGAACTAAAAGTTTTAAATTACTAGAGCAGTTGGTGGAAACTGTCAAATCTATTAAGCACATTTTACAGGTATTCCAAACAGATCCTCTGTACAACTGGTTTTCGTAGACCCAGCAGCCTCATCTTTTTAAGAACAGACTGATTGCTCACCGGAGAATTCACGGGTGCCTGGGTCTGTGGGTTTCCTCGCCCAGCAGAATGAGTGGAGCCCCTCCTGCAGGGCGGGCTGGTGTGCTCACCAGGTGGCTACTTCCATCCCCTTCCCACGGAGAAATGGGTCTCACCGCCTGTTAGAAGGGGGGTCTCACTAGCAACCATTCCTTGAAAGGACTGTGAAGGACTTTGACACCTTAGTTCATCACATACTTTTTTTCTGTGTTATATCCTTTCATACTTTTTCCAGTTTCACAAAGGAAATGTCCTTTCTCCTTGGGTTTGTGGCAGCGGCCGGAACCCATGTGCAGAAATGGACAGTCAATGGGAATGTGACTACCGTCTGGGGTATCATGAAGACGGTCCATAGCTGTTAGCTTCTCTTTTTCATCTCCACCCTTTCCAGTCTCCAACTTTTGTGCAGAATCGAAGCGCAGACTGTTTAATGTTTTTAAATTTCTCCGAGTAGGCCAAGTTCAAATTCTAGCTCCTCCAGGAACTTCCCTGGTTCCCTCTTGGACCTTACAATTGCTGGACCTGGAACTGGGAATTTTGATCTTGGTTTTCTCTTCCCTGTCATAGTACGGACTGGCATCATTTTCCACGAGGCATCCGCAGTGTGCTTGGCACTTAATAGGTGTTCAGAAAACATTTATGGATTAGAGGAATGAATAGACAGAAGGGGAGAAGTCCTTTGAGTCTCGACAATCCCAAGGCCAGTTAGACAGTTTTGGGGTTTTATTTATGAGTTAAAATTGCTTCTCATGAAAATGAACAGATCTTGTCTGTCAGGAGCAATAGCATGTTAATGTTGATCTTGGAAGGATGACTTTTGCGTCTAAAAGCTGCAGGTTATTTTGAGGATGATTTTTTAAAAAGTCACTCTAGTTTTGTGTTGAGTAATAAGACTTCTGGACCGCTAGGCACTTTCGGGGTGCCCACAATATAGCAGTTAAGCAGCAGATATCTCTTCGATGAGTGGATGAGGGGAAGAGGAGAGAAGATGATGTGTGAGGTTCAGCATTTACCAATTTACTTACTGAGCAGTTGCCAAGTGCACAGTATTACACTAAGTTATGTGAGGGTTATAAAGATAAATCAGATAAATCTACCTTCCAGTAACATGCCGATTACAGAGTAGGAAAGAGCAGGTGCCCAAGTGCAGTGAGATGAAGTGCTGTAGGAGGTGGCTGTGCTAAGGGTGGGGGCTGGTGGCAATCAGCAAGGGTTCACAGAGGGGCCAGGGTTTAGGTTGGTGGGTGGTATTGGGACTGGTGAGCGTGGAGACTGAGGACATTTTGGGTACGAGCAACACCTTGTCGT